CATAAATTGTCAGGTTTAAAGAAGACATTATTCTAGAATAGAATTAGCAACACATTTTATAAATTCATTAAGTCATCTTAAGTAATTAGGTGCGGATGAGAGGATAATTTGCTTTGAAAATGATGGTATTATATCGAAGTGTATCAACTGGATCCGATCTACAAAGGCCTTTGTTGATCAACGTCTCCGCACATGCTCGTATTGGTAATGAGGGTGAATCGCAATTTTACGTAACAACATAATATTTTGAAGTGCCCGCAACAGGGCTGCATTATTTACATTGATCTTGTTGTGACCATATTGAGTGGGTACTCCTCTTAGCGTAATCAGCTCTCCATCCTAATGAGTAACAAGGATATGTAACAACGAGCTCTCGGTAGGTAAGAAGAGCTTACCCCACATGTGTGACCTGTTATTAGCATGACGAAAATCGATTAGTTTATTAGTATTTGCTGCAACAGAAGAACTTATTTGACCATTGTATGAACATCGCTAGATTTTTTGTCTGTGTAAACGCGGTGAAATGACACCAGGCTAAGAATTAACCGACCCATGATTAGCTAGATGGCATTCCAGTGCAAATTTGTGACCGTCATTTCATAAATTTCCTTCCTTTCGCGTCCACGCAATCACGTTTATCAACCCCGGTTATTCACTTTTGATCAACTACAACATCTGTATTCAGTTTACCTAACTTGGCCATCCAACTTGCTTTGTTCCAACCTCTTCTGCAACCGTCATCTATTGTCGTATTGCGGATTGGTGAAAGATAGAGAGCGCAGGGCCTGCAAAAGAACATTGGGTCTAAAAATTAGAATCGAATATTTACAATTATTTGGATTATTTCATTTGGGCAAGTTCGTCACTCTGACAACAGACTAACTTAAACGACAGTTCCACCACCTTCGACTTATTGTTACAACTTCCCAAAAAATATTCTCGACTTACCCGTTCTTTTGAATTTTATTGTAACGAGAATAATGATAATGGAAAGATAATTTGCGGCTTTTTTTCAAAAATAGAGAGTTATAACAGGATGATTTATTGAGATATGAATTCTGTGAATTAAGGTTCCTCTGGCAGGAGGTCTAATTTCTACCGCTTTGATTCCTTTTATTATCACGGAAGTCAGTGAATGTCATCCCGTGAAATAACTTTCATACTTAAACTATTGGCGTGTGATGGTTGTTAGCAAGGAAATAATTCAAACAACATTTTATATGTGAAATAATGTGAAATTAAATAAGGTTTGAAAGGAATTTATTTAGAACTGTTGATAAAATGATAGTTAATATTTGAAAGAAAAAAAGATGAGTTTTGAGACATGATAATAATATGGGTAATAAAATTTATTATTTTTATTTTATATTCATTTTTGAAATTTTTAGAACCAAAAATTATACTCCACACCTTACTGATAGATGAATAAACCGAAATTTACAAACATCGTTCTAGTTAACTTTTATTTTCATAAAATTTTATAAAAATTCATTTCTATTATTGCACACACCAGAAAATGGTTGTATTGACCGCTATAAACCTATTGGCTTTGCTTCAAAAATCTGTCTCAGCTCTGTAATTTAACACATTATAATGAATAGGTACTGTTAATTAATTTTTGTGGACTAAAATGACACCTTCTGATTATGTGAGATGCTATGGCACGCATAGATTCGTAGATCAAAAACTCTCACAAAGACTCACAAAAAAAGGGATACAAGATCAGAGAACTCTCTCGGTCTCCCTCTCACTCAACATATCTTGCCTCACCTAATCAACACGACATGGATCACCTTTGCTAATTACTAACATTATGCTATTACTCATCCTCTTCCACCCCACTACGCTTCTGAGCGTTTGCCAGCCCAAAAAGATTAATCCTACTACTTTGGATTGGTCTTGCACTTTGTTTGTCTTTAGGAAGGTCATTTTCTTATAAGCCCAACTTGATCAGGGTCCTGCGTTGCTTTCCGTCGTAAAAAATAGGGGTCAGAGTACAGAAGTATACTTCAAAGCGCACATACTTCTCCTGATAGGAGATGCTAAATTGGCATTTCTCATTACAGTAATGGGAATGTTAGGAAACTGCATATGCCGGCGAAGGAAATACAATTCTGAATCTCCCTCCGTGGCCTTAGCTGACTAAGTTGATTTGCCATCCAAATCACTTGAAGGGGATTAGTTGTCTTAAATTTCGCAATCTCTTGTTTTGTAAATGTGTTCTCTGGGGAACATACCATTAAAGCTCCGACTGTGATCGACCAAGTTGTACTCCTTTGTCTCCCCCCCCCTCTAACATTTCTTTCGCTTACTTCTTTCTTTTTCCTCTCTATTGGTCGAACTTGGTAAAAAACTAGCTTCGTTACTGTAGATGCAAATAAATTAACATGAATTAATTATTTCATAGCAGTCTATTTTATGCAGATCGACTGAACATTCTAGCAATTTGCTTTCAGTTAGCATTGATCATGATGTTTTGTTCACAGGGGGGGTTGGCGGGAATGGGGTGGGGGGAAGAGTGTGTTTAAACAATAGGAGGAAAGCCTATTGTTTTCAATATTCATTGTCTGACCGCAGTGTTGAATTCATGCAGTTGGTTCGTACATCTGTCACAAACCCACAATAGAGATTTATTGCATTTCGATATATTAAAATATTTATGAGAGCAAAAATCGGTGCCTACTTGAACACATTCATTTTTTAATCATTCGTGAAGTCTAATTTATTCCAATTATTTAAGAAAACTCCTAGCAGCACCAGAGGAGAAACAAACGTAAATCACAGACAAAAGTATTACGGGATCTGCCTTCCATAAGAAGGGCCAGACCGTTAGACGGTTATTCATTTAAATGAAAAAACCCGAAGACTGATATGCACCCTCTCCTTCCTGGTTTCTAATTCGAGGAAATCTAATACTCTCCTCAGTTGGAGATGAAATAATCTACTGTCATTGAAAAGTTTTCAAGGATATTTGCTTGCAAAATATCTGCCCGTCAGTACTTTTAACTTCCATAAGAATAAATCGCCTCGATTTATATTTAAGATTAAAAAGGGTTGTGCGATAGACTTACCTCTACGTGATGTATTATGGGCAACATATGCTCATACGGCAAAAAGTCTATAAACCGGAAGTTGACTTCTGACTTTAAACTACCACCATGACGCAACTGTATGTCATATTCGCCCACTTCCAAAATACTCACCTCACCTTTTCTCTGCCTTTGTGTCTGTCTCTTTCACATCTGTGGATCACTTTTCTGTCCCCCACCCCTCGATTTTCTGTAACTTTGATGTTCTTTCCTCTGTGAAGCCCGAAGTCAGCTAAAGGACTAATGATAACTATCGAAACGCCTACCATTTGAAAAAAAATTCAATAAATATTTAAAATTAAAAAGCAAATGTAGCATTTTGATTCTTCGCCAAATATTTGCGTCTATCCTCAGATAAAGTGAGCATTTTAAGACTTGAATATTACAGGTAGAATCGAGAAGCAAATTGAAGGGAAAATTAAGCATCGCGAACCGCGTAGTATTGCATTGTACTAAAAATAAAGCGATTTAGAGTTCTATCCAAATGTTCATTGGGCGTCATTTTGGCAGTCTTCTGATGAAGAAAATTTTTCAGGACGCCGAACAGTATCTTTTATCTCTCATTCTCTTTTGCGTCGAATAATAAGATCGATCAGTAAATTTGCAAGTTTGCGACCAATCCATACACTTTTGAGCTCAATTTAAATTTATTCAACTTGTGGCTTAGCTATATTTCACACAAGCAAATATATCTCATTAGTATCGAGAGCAGGGTTTAATTATTATTTTTATTAAATAATTGTTAATAATCTACTGAAAAATCAACGAATCGTTTTGTTCAGTCCAATTTTTTACTGATACATTCATACTCCATTTGCCATATTCAAGACCAAATGTGAGATTGCTTGGGTCAAATATGTATTGACCAGATGAGAAATTATTGATTGAACCGATTAAGCATATTTCAAGTCGCATGAAAATAAAATTAAATGGAAAAATTTCCATAAATATAAGACAGTATGCTATAATCGAAATGGATATAATGAAGTCATTCCTTTTAAAATATATAACCACGAACCGATTTTGCAAAAAACCCACGAAATATATTTTTCAACTCAATTTAACTGCATTTGATATTTATTCTAAAAGAGGGGATTTTAATAAGAGGCGTTAAAGCTAATTCATTGCATCATTACGGTATTCTAGGTTTAATTGGCTCAAATCCACTCTCCCCACCTACTATTGCAAATGCAATAAAGCATTTTAATAAAATAATAACATTCTAATTTAAGTAACTTTTATTTCAGTTGCAATCCTCTCAAAGGAAAACAAACTAACTTACTTGCATCTTGAAAAGCCATATTAAATTTTATATCAAAAATTGCATTGAAAGTTATTGACATAATTGCCTTAAATTTGATTTGGAAACTGAGTTGCCCAATATTACCCTCTAATTTATGGCATTATACTTTGAGGAAGTGTTATCTAATTAACATGATTAGTAGAACCAGTGATGACAACAGGTTTTGTAAAGTTATAAGACAATATTGCTCAAATTTTGGCAAGATAGTAAGAGCAAAAAGTGAATAAAACATCTGTTACATACTTACGCTTATAGCCAGTGACCAATTCGGTTAATTTGACAAAGCTCAAACCAATGACGCGCCACTGAAGAGCGCTACCCCCGCACGTTCAAAGCGGGCATAGAACGAATGCGTTATTTTTTGCTTTTGATTGCGATAAATGAGTTGAGACTAATGCTTTGAGAGCATGCGTTTATAACAAGGTCTACCTCTAAGCTTTGTTGTTACTAGGAGCATAGTCTTATCCAATACCCTGATTACATAAATGCCTCTGAGGTTAGAGAGAACATTCAAGATAACGACGTATGCTAAATGAGGTTAGAAAACGAAAATTGTTGGATGAACGCCATGGCCAGTTGGGAAACACGAGGTGGATGGCGTAAGAAGAATGGATTCAAAGAAGCAGCACCGAAAATCGCGATCAAGAAGATCTCGCGAGGAGGGCAGACAGCAGTACACCACAGAGTCCCTTCTCACTTCACCTCCTTCCAGTACGCTTATCCAGTCCTTCAGGGGCATTCTCACCACAACTGAGGGCCAGTCGACACACCCTCGAGGTATTTCACCAGTGCAAATTTGTCCACCACCTCCCGGACCCATTCCTTTCCATGGCTTTACATCAGCAGCGGCCACAATTCCCCACTCTCTTTCCCACCAGAAGCCGGATTATAATATATCCCTCGTGAGTTATACGCTTTACATAACTTATGATGCATTCGCCTGGTTAAACTGCTTGCTCGAGAAGATTAAATGTCCAAAGTTTGAAATCCATTAGTCGTTCCTCTCAACTTAGAAAATATGCAATGGAAAATGAATAAAACTTCCACTCAGATTTCCAAAAATTGATTCAAGTTACTTTAATTGAAAAAAACTCACATCTAACAAAATAAACTTATTTCTTAATCTACAAAAAGCGAGAACTTGATGAGTTGAAGCAAGATATTTTAGATACCATTACAAGAATGAATTATTATTAAACAAAACATTTCAATACTTTGCTACATAGTTGCAGAATCTTGAGTTGAAATGATGGCCTACTAAGTCTGGCAGCAGCCAGTGTGTTACGACGCATCATTTAGTGTTTCAATAGTAAATTCTTTCAATGCTACTTATTGTCTATACATTTTTCCGCCAAACCTTTAAACAGATCATCGGATAAATAGACTTGAGATTCAAAAATTTTTAACTTTTACTTCTAAAATGAAAATAATTGTCCTTTAATTTATGCAATGTGTTAACTTTTCAGTGTGCATCAGAGATTTGATAAATGCGAAAGAAGATATTTGTCTATGAGGCTTAGTGAATGTTAACTTTCCTTAACTTATTTGCCTGATCTGATCATATTGGTCTTTTGAATCTGCCTTCAAAAGATCGAGAGAGGGAATCGTTTAGAATTTGATTTGAACCATCACTTTGGAACGTTGGCGCTGAAGTTAAAATGTGCTAGATAAGGGTCATTGAAGTTTGCTATTGGAGTTGAGGTCAGCGTTTAAGACTTAATGCCCGGAGTTTTGCAGAAAGGAACATCATTCTGAAGCAAAACCTATTGGTTATCAGAGGAAGAATAGGATGTAAGCTTGATGCTAAGTGGGGTCTGTCCACCTTCCATGGAAGTTGCTATGGCGGGTCATTGAATTGATGCTTTCAAAATGCAATGCCAATTTCTGCACACTCAATGCTCGGAGTATCCAACTTCGGTGAATAGGTTTAATTACTGAAGTGGGGACTATTTTGAGTTTAACTCAACAAAGTCTTCATAAATCCAACGCTCTACTTGAGATGAAAGTTGGAAGCGCATTCATAGAAGTGATTGAAATTACATTTTCATAGCCACATTTATATGCCACCACCTCATACAGTGCAGTAATTCCGTTTTTTTTTAAATTATTCATTCAACAGGAATGGGTAAAAAATTTTAAGTCTCCAGAAACCAGCTACTTTTTTGAATGATTTCAATTTGCGATTTGTATTCAAATGCATCAAGAAATTCGAAAACAGTTTAGAATTTGCTAACTTCTAAAAAGTAGACAGTGTAGAATTGGGCATTATGAGCTAAAACTACCGAATCTTTGGTAAATAAATGCTTCCAAGCATTATTTTAAAGCATACTTTTATGTTGCTTTCTATGATTAAATGAACAGCAGTAGCAAACAATTATTCGATATAAATTAACGATTAAAAGAGGGTAAAACAATTTTTTAAACATCCTGCTTACTCAAGGCAAATCATGTCGCGATAATAGCATAAAATAACTACTTTCCCTGTTATTTTAATCTTAAATTGTATCGAATTTAATTTAATTAAATAAAAGGAGCAAATAAATAGACCATTTTTCTGGGTTTAAGTCATTAAAAATAAAATGTAAAAAAACTATAAACATGATTTTTTCCCTCCTGTTGCTAAATAATCGTTAGCACCTGAACAGAAGGCAATGAAATCTATATATAAAACACTTTTTTCCCAAAAAAATCCTCGTCAGTAAAATGATCGAGAAATTTGTTGGCATATTATTAGATTGATGGATCTCTTGGGAGAAATTCGAATGCCCGGGGAATCGAGTTGTCAATTTTATTCATAGAAGAAAATAATTTAAAGATTTTCAATGAAAATTCGTAGCTGCATTATTTTTTTAAATAATTGCAATTTATGTTTGTTTTTTTGTATTTGCCCAAGCTCTACTTTGGTTGTTAGATGAGAAATTAATAGAAAGGAAAGTTACTTTACAAAAAAACCGAAAATGGCCTTAAAAATGTACAATTTACCCCCCCCCCCAAATCACAATAATTTGACTATTTTACGTTTTCTCTAAGACCGGAGATTGAGATATATCACAAATAAATAAAAGGGTGTACTTTATAATTTTTCATACTAATACACGATTTGAATTCGTTTCTAGGGGTTTTAGAATTTGCTGTGGTCAAAATGCCCAAGAATTGAATTTTCCGAGTTGGCATAAATAAAGCTAGCTAATGTTGTCACACAATTTTGCTCCCGGTAAGGAAGAAAAATTCTAGGTGACCTCCTCCCCCCCCCCTCTCCGCAGTTATTGCCTTAAATTGTTAGAGACGTCGAAGTGATGTGATGACGCCTCCATAAGGGATTGAAAATTATCTTTCTACCTCATAGTTTTCAATTTAAATTAATTTGCCTCTGACTATAGACATCTCTTTGGCACACGAATTTCTGTTAGCAATAGGCTGGCGTACAACTTTGACCTTCATGGCTCATAATAGAAGGATCAACCTGCCAAGTATAGAGGCTTCCACACAAACTAGCATTTGACACCCCAACTCCATCGTCAAATTCTGCTTCATCTTCTCTCCTTAATTCTCATTAGACGGCCATAATATAGCCCTTGTTAAGCTGCTTTTCAAAGGTAGAATAATTCTATACTACTCATTAATTTCATTCTGTTCAAGGATGCTGTTTTTTAGAGGAGAACTCAAAGGCGAGAGTTAACATTATAAGTTCAATTTAAAAAATTTGAAAAAAACACATTTTTAACAAAATGTCATATACAAAGACCACATTTAAGAAATGTGTTAAATAAAAAAATTGGAGTAAACTGGAAGTTTCTACTTAAAACAAGAATACTTTTTAATGGACATCTTGAGCTATTGAAGAGAAATATGCTGACAAATTGCCATTCTAGAAAATGGATATCGATTCATCTAGACCTTACTTATCTTAATCGTAGGGTAACTGAGGCATGATGTTTTGAATTTAGAGCCGTTATGCTTACATCTACACTAATAACCAATATTTTAAATTGAGAAACAGATGAATTCATAAAGAAAAAAGTTTAGCTAAGATTCAGAATAGTGTTGAGTGAAATGATGCTGAGATCAAATAGTGAGAAGCAGTCTTGCCTCAATTGAATTTTGAAAACGGATTGTATGTAATACTCACTAAATGGATGCCTTGCGTTCCAACTTTTCAACTAACATGATTCGTCTCGGGGACTTCAACAGCTGTTTGTCAACGATATACAGCGCTTTTAGGACGATTTTTAATCCTGATGGTTAGTGTTGCCACTTCAAAGCATTCTTCTTTTCCAGATGTTAAGAATTAAAATGATTTTTCGATAAGACCAGTAACTTTCAGCTTTATCATAACGGAAATTATATTGTTTATTGACAACGATCAAGTTTACAATTACTGAATATTCTATAATAAACGCCTTGGTATAAAGTAAAGATAAACTGCTTAAGTGGCCATTTGGAGGTTTGAAATTAAATTATCTTCTTTTTCGGTTCAAAAATAGTATGCATTGAATATTCCAAGTTCGCTAACTTGATTGGCAACACCTTGATAATTGGTTTATCACTTTTAAGGGTTTGAGAAGCAGGTCAAATATTCAGTCATAGTAGTTAGTGAATGCTCCGGAAAGTAGTCCAATCTCTTAGCGATATTACATCACCCAGAGTGAAGTGGCCGTTGTGGTTAATGTGATCAGATTGGCAATCAGTCGTGTGGTTGCAAGTGGGAAAACTATTGCATAGGGTAAAGTGAACCATTATAACACCATCCACACTGAGTGTGGTTAAGCCAATAATAAACTAGCCAATCAACAGTTAAAGGTTCATACGCATTTACTTAAACAAGCATTATCGATTCATAATTTAGAAGAACATCAAAATTTAGGTGAATAAATATGCACAAAACTGTTATCTTTACGCAAATTATTTCCTTTTATTTTTTTTAATGAAATCAAAATTGAGAATGGGGTTAAAACAGAAATGATGATAGAGCATCGTTGGTAGGATGAAATTAGAATCGCTATATACAAAACTATACTTAGTAAGAAGTAGAAGAGATGCCATTTAAAGTAGAAGGACTTTAACGAAAAATGGTAGAGCAAAAATGCAAATGCATTCACAAGCCGATGTTAGGAGAGTTTTTGTGAAGAAAAGTTTAGATGCGGCTAACTGGTGTAGCTGGTTATTGGAGTTAGTCGGTGATGAGAACTAGGGTAGAAACGGATATAAATAAAGCATAATTGACTAAAGACATTCTTCGAGAGGAGTAAGCTTTGTGTTTTGAGTCATCTTAGAATTTTAGGAAATATGGTGGCAAGGTCATCTCCATTTCCCTCTCTTCTGGTTGTTTAAAATAATTAAGTTTGAGAATTAGTAGCAGTTAATCATTTTCGAACCCAAGACGCTGTATTTGATATTAGCGTTTAACGGGAAAATTGTTGCAAATACAAGATACTTGTATAAAAATTATGTATCTCCCCATTGATAACTCAACGCAATTCATTTTAAAGTAGGAAGCAAAACAATACTCCATATATTGCAAATAATAACGTTCGTTTAGTTGAAACACCCGCCATGCAGACAAGCCTATCTATCATTTTAAAGAAAAAAATTTGCCCAGTCCGAGGTACATTGACTTTCAAATAGTCGCCTTGGAGACAAAAAGGTACTGGTTCAAATAAAATACATCCCTGAAAAAAAATATTAAGCACTTCTGTTCCTTTTGCCTGATCACCAGCATTACGTGAATTTGGAAAAAAATACCTTCCTTTGAGTTTGAAATAATGGCAAACGAAATAGTACAATGGGCGGAGGAAATAATTGCACTTTCTAAAAATTCAAGACCTTTACAGGAACCAGGAACACAGTAAATGAGTTAGACTTCCATCAAGTACTCCCAGCCAAAATTTAAATTTAAATATATTAATTTGAATCACGAACATTACAAATTTTAAAGGAGTTTGATTTATTCCATGTGTGACCGCGTATTTTTCGTTAGACGATTAGAAAGTTTCTG